GAGAGGGACATGCCGTGTGTCAAACCCGCTCGGCTGAAGCCAACGGGAACGGGGAGCCTTTTCATCGGCAGGTCCCCAGTGGCCTGGAACGGACACGGCCCCCTTTCAAGTCCGGTCAACCTCCAACAATTGGCGCTTTCAAGTCTTGAATAATAATAAAAAAACATTCTCAATCTCCAGCGACCATCGCAACTCGTCTGGTTCTGTGCCGCCCGCCGCTTCCGTCTGGCGCTATCGCTGAATTATGGAACGTTATATACATTTCACACCGATCGATTTTATGTATGTTGAATTCCTTGCGCACCGTACGTAGCCAATCGTTCTCATCGGAGGTGCAGAGGGAATGACATGACAGGCACTCACAGAAGCTTCCAAAAATGCAGCTTACGAACGGTAACACTACGCACGCTATGAACATCAACCTGATGTACACGGAATTTATTAAGAATAACTTAACGTAGCTTTTCACCGACATCGTATGGCTATTTTAAAACGTACATGCTGCAAAAACGACGACACGCAAAAATACTATTGTTTTCCTAACTGTGCTTCACGTAAGATCGCCGATGTGATTATGAGCACCACGTGCCGTACGCTGTGGACGAGTCAAACAGGTCCGAGTGGGTTCCTGCTCCCTCGAGCGTCGGAGGCATTGGCGCTCATCTCCTGTTTACAACCCTGGGCCAGTGGTGGAAAATGTCACATTCCTGTGACGGGGGCGGCGAGGCGATCCACAAGACAACCACTGGTACTCGTTTTTTTAAAAGTCAACTTTGGACCCGTAATGATGATCTCTAGCCTAGAGAAATCGTGGCAGGGGCAGAGGTCGACATCGGACGAGGTGGGATAGACGACATCAAGTACACGGCCGGCCTTGCCACACTGACCCAGCAACGAGAGGCAGCGAGAGACAGGGCGTGGGTGGTAGAGTTTGGCCGTGGCTGTCACCAGAGGTCTTGCTCGACCTGACGCCACAAGGTGACAATGTGAGGAGGGATGATGGGCTCAGACAATCCTTTGCCGACCAGGATGTGAACTCACAAGCCACTTGCTCGACCGCTGAGACATCTGGCCAGATCATTATCGACAAGAGTCTGCCTCCATTAAAAGCGAAACGTTATAGTACTTAAGCCATTAAACCAATATGTCTTTCAGACAACTCCTCATTGACAGAATTTGTTTCAAGCCCATCAAACTCTGGACCGGTTTAAACGTTTCTGGGTCTCATCAGAGAAGTCAGGTCTGTTAAACGAGTGCTGTTATTTTGCCAGCAGACATTATAGAGCAGCAGCCACCCACTTGTGTGACGTGGATGCAATTTTACACTAGAGAGTTGTTGATTGTCGAGTGCTGTGGCACAGTTGTCTGTGACAGGCCAGACCTCTGTTCCATCAGTGCCCTGTTCCAAACCACCCCCAAAAGTCGCCATTGACCTTGGTGGTCGATCTCACGCGTCTATGATTATTCATAAATAGTTCGATACAAAACAAGTCTGCTGCAAAAGTTAAATGTACACACATGCGCGTTCTGCGACACGGTAACCTTTTTTTTCCCCTAAAACGAGTGTAAAACTCAACACGATAGTCAAATAACACTGCCCTTGAAAACAAATAAATATATACAGGATACAAGAGGCGACGTGCGATGGAGGAGGGCCATTGCCTGAAACGTCGGCCGTTATACTTTCTTGTCTTTCGTGGGCAGGGTTTGTTGACGAACGGACCCGATCGGCCGTCGTTGGTTGCTTCGTGTCAATACAGCGCCACACAAATTAAAAACGGCGTCGTCGTTTGCTATAGCGAGCGGGGTCGTCTTGGAGGCGTCGTTGGTGTGCGTGCGTGCGGTCACGCCGTCTTCACAGCTGATCATGGCCCCAAATTCTGCACAGACGCGACAGGCGAGGGAGCTTCAACGCCACTTCGCATCACCGGCGATGGCGCGGCCGTGAAATCGTTTTTTCGCGGAGCGGTACGACACGCCGGGGAACGTTCACGATGCGAGGGTTGTCACGATTTCAGTTGTTCGTGGTCGGTAGATGTTTCCACAATTTCGTTGTTTATAGTTTTTTTATGTTTTTGGCGGACTTCACGTGCACATGACGATCACTTTAAGCGTCCTGCAAGGGCCACTTGACTCCAGCCAAGTCGGTTTGTTTCATTCGTCGCAACTTTACACAAACCTGTAACGCATATAATGCACACGCGCCGTCAGTCTCGCAATAAATAAGCCAGTTAACTCAGTGAGCTATGAAAGTGATGAGGTCGTATAACCACCATGCTGCCAATTACTCTGGATTTAATTTTTTGCAAAATGCTACTTTAATGCGTTACGGAGATTTACTTAGAACGTTAATTGCCGTGCTTTTGTACAAGAAAAAAGTATATATTTTGTTGTTGTTGTCAGGAAATGTAAAGGGTAATTCAGATACGGCAATATTTTCGCAAAAATAAATATCGAGTGGGTGAGCGAGTGGTCGTGAGAAGCGGTGGAGCGTTGGTCAGTGCGCTGCACTACGAACCCGGCGACCCGAGTTCGATTCCCGCTCATGGCCAACACCGGTGACGACTATCTGACCGGTCCTGGGCCTCCCCTAGGGCGACTCTGCCTCAAACGAGTACCTGGTGTGTAAAACATCGCCACTCGGGAGACAAAGGTGGCTGGGCGTGGTGCTGGATACCCAACGCCACGTGTGCGGTGCTCGCCAAGAGCGCTTGCCTCCAAAAGCCGATCAAGGCTACAGGAGGGAATCTAGGTCTTGTGCGAGTGAACGAGTTCATAGCTGAGTGAGCGAGTCGGCGAGCGAGAGAAAAACAACTGAATAACAGTGTCTTCTTGGTTCTTTCGGTAAAGTCACGTAGAAGGGAAATAATAATTATATAATGTTTTATTTGTTTTATTTTATTATTTCCCTTCTACGTGACTTTACCGAAAGAACCAAGAAGATGAATCCCTGCAGTCACAAAAGCTTTAAATCGAAATTGAATAACAGTGATTGGCCGAGGAGAGCGAGTTAGGTGAGTATTCAAGTCCGTGGGCACGATTTTCGCGGTGGAGATTTTCAATCACATGATGCATCACGCCGTAGCCGCCTCGCGCCAGCCCCGGGCTTGAACCCAGCGGGCTCTCGGTGGGAGGCCTGGCGCTTGCGGAGTCACGTGGGCGCTGGCCCACGCGAGCGCATGCCGAACGTGCCGTGGACGTTCGATCGCGTGCGGCCGATGACGATGAATCCCCCTTTGGCTGAGCGGCTTCGAGGGGGCGGTCGCTTGGCCACGCCGACGGCGAGTCTTCGCCTTCCAGTCCGAATCGGCAAAGCAGCGAAGATTTCAAGACCTCCGCAGATGCGCGGCGCAGCGACAGAAAAAGTTGTCCTGTCCCGTGCGCGGTGTTTAGTATCCGTGGTGCCGCGTTGGCACGAGCAGAGAAGACAGACACTCGCCAATGATTCAATGCTGAACATGTGCCTGAAAATTGCTCAAATCAGAATCAAGCAAAGCTGGAACATCGCCCCCCCCCCCCTCTCCCTCCTTGCTGCTGTGAAAACACCTTGCAGGACCCTCCTGAAAAATAGTTTTGAGACTCAGCGAGGGCCTCCTCCTGGGTAAATGAGCCTAACAGCGGGAACAACAATACAGCAATAAAGAAGCGATTAAACAGGGCCATCGCCCAAAGCATCAACCAGCTCTCTGGATTGTTCCTCTCAGGCCCATAGTGTTATTGACGAAATGTGTTGCGCTTTTGTGACACGTGCCTGTCTGGCTCATGAGCACTCACGGTATTTTGAAATGAAAAAAAGAAATCTAAATCTTCACAAATTCATGAAATAAAATTCAGAGAGGAGTTGGTCTATGATCCATGCACAGTCTTGGTCTTCGTCTTCCACATGGCATCGGCAAACCGACCGAGCCGCGCCAATCCGTTCAACGGCGTCGGCAGTGTGCCCGATGTCGTAGCGTCCCGTGCCTCCTGCGGCGTGCGTGCGTCGCGGGCAAGCCGTCCGCTTACGCGACAAACAGATCGCACGTGCGGCACTGCGCCACATTCGCGATCAGCGCGCCTCTTCTCTCATCGTACGACCCCCGACGGATGAACGCCCGCGACGCGCCGCCGGGTGACTTTCTGACCCGCCCCCTGAACTGGACGTCTGTGAAACAAAACAAAATAAAAGAGCCTCATAGGCTCGCCGGATTTCTCCGGGATTAAATAACGATTGATGATTCTGGGCGAGAGGCGCGTCGCGATTTGCTTCGGAGGAGCGCAGCTGCTGAGAGTTTCTCTGCGTCGCAGGCGTCGTCCCCCCCCCCACCCCCCCGGGGCTCGCAGCTGGCGTTTGTCAAGCGACCGGGGAGCTGAGCCGGTGCTCTCCGGGAGGAAGCCACGCAAACAGTCGGGCCTCGAGATAATCCCTCGGGTGCCCCTCCTCCTCCTCACTCGCTCGCTCGCGCAGGGCGACCCTCTTGTTTAGTGGTGGGGCGCGTGATGAGGGCTGGTGATGAAGAGGTGAGTCTGCGCTTGCAGAGTGGCCGTGCTGGTGCCTGCAATGAGACGCGGGGGGGGGGGGGGGGCGATCGGTTTTTTGTGACGTGTAGCTCACGTGGGAGGGGGAGGGGCGATCGTTTTTTTGTGACGTAACAGCTCACGTGGGAGGGGGGGGGCGTTCTTCGTCGATGGAAAGCCCTGCCTAGGCCTTCACCGCGCCTATGGAGTCTTCAAATGTGATGATGCATCTATAGCTCAGCCAAGACGAATTTTATCGTTCCGTCTCCACGATGGACAACATCTCAGTGGCATTCCCCCGCACCTGCCGATTAGTGCGGTTGGCTATGTATGGTGCAAAAGAAGTTCAACACAAGTACACGCACGACAGCCATTAATGAGTGATGGATAGCAGCAGGGTACACACAACAAGAACATTACTGAGAATAATTAGAGAAAGGAAGGGTTGGATTTCTTGCACGGGTAGTGAGAATAAAAGAGGCTGGATATGAGTGTTGTTTTGTCTACTGGGAAAGTTCTGCATAGCACGAGAATCCAGGAAAGGCAGTGATTTGAGTCATGTAAATAGTTTTAACAAATTGATGCAACTGGGAGTATCGAATACAAAAGCAGTTGAGTAAATATCACGGACAGGCCTAACTGCAAGGAAGAAAATCACGCGTAGAGAGATAAGTTGTAAAATAAAGTGTCATTGCTGTAAATGTATTCATAAAATAATTGATAATTGCTACTGGTCGCGACCTTGAAATCGCGACAATTAATGGAATAATATGGAGACTTACACTGCAGTTAAACTTATACCTCTGGAATATTATTCCATTTCTGTACGTGGCGGCCACCATCCGTTCTAGCAACGCGTCGCTGCACCAAGCCCACTTACTTTTCTTACCAATTTGGACGATGTCTCTACCGACCAAGACATCGGAGCAAAAGCTGAAAATCGTGCAGCGGCAACAGCAATGGACTAGCGTGGGAGAGACGCACGCGTGGAGTTACGTTGAGAGACGGGGAAAAAGGGAAACGCGCGGGTTAGAGGAGGCACGGGTTAGAGAAGGAATACATCCGGGTTAGCGGTGCCACCCAACCTGATGCACAACGTCGCATCGGGTGAGACACGGGGCTGATGGACTATGGCCAAAACCAAGAACGGATTGGCAGCCAAGTGGTTGGCTACGTACGGTGCGGAGGGAAGTCCAACGTCCGTGCGTACGTACAGACGGAGCTCGCTCAAGCGAACGCCCACCGAGGAGATGGAGCGATAAAACGAGTCCCGTGTGCGGGTGGTGCCGGATGAATCGCCGCCTCGCGAGTCCGCGAGAGGCGGCCGCAAAAAAGGTTGGGAGAAGGCGGCCTTCATCCAGCAGTGGATTGGCGACGACGAGGGTGACGACGGCGATGATCGATAGTGGGCATCACCTTGCAGGTAGGTGGCCAGGATGGTGCCCTCGGCGCTCAGGTAGGGCGTGTAGGCCGAGTCCTCGGGGGCGGAGAGCGCGAGGTGCCCCGGGGGCATCCCGAGGCCCGGTGAGATGTGCTTCTTGTGGCGCGCGCGGCAGTTCTGGAACCACACCTGGGGGTGGGGGGAGGGGGCACGGTGACGTCAGCGGGCGTCGGTGGGGAGGGGGGCGAGGTGAAGTCGTGATGGTGATGGATGAACGAATGGCGATGGGTTCTTGTCGTGCAGTTTCTGGTGACGGGGCTGAGAGCAAAGGGACGGGTCACGCTTGGTGGTCTCGGGGCTGTTGATGTTGATTCCCTCGACTGCTACGCAGGAGGTCGTGGATTCGATCCCGACCCTGACGACGTCTGTGTATTTGGAGTTCGCGGTGTCTCTCTCTCCCCGTGGTCGTGTGGACTTTTCTCCGGGTCCTCCGGTGTTTCCCCTCCATATGTAGAATGAACGTCAACGCGTTTAGAATATTTGGCAGCTACTTTACATTTCCAGCATTGTGGAAGGGGGGATTGGGGGGGGGGGCGATGATCTGCACGATGGGTTGGGGGCCACCGAAGCCGGGCGTGTCGCTTTGCCTCTGCAGAGGCTCGAACGGGACGGACGGACAGGGTGGGAGTGGCGACGCGCGAGGGTGAGTGCGAGGGCAAGGGTGAGTGCGAGAGTGAGTGTGAGTGCGAGGGTGAGTGTGGTGAGTGTGAGTGTGGTGAGTGTGAGGGTGAGTGCGAGGGTGAGTGCGAGTGAGAAGAGGCTCGCCTGGATCACCCTCCGGCTGAGACCCGTCATGTCCGCGAGCTTCTGCAGCGTCTGCGCATCGGGGTTGTTGTCCTGCGCGAACTGGGCCTGCATCACCTTGGGGGGGGGGGGGGTAGCACGCGCGGGGTCAACGTGGGGTCAACGTGCGGCACGCGGGGTCAACGTGGGGTCAACGTGCGGCACGCGGGGTCAACGCGGGGTCAACGTGGGGTCAACGCACCGGGTTCGCGCCCGAACTGAACCCCGCCGAGGCGAATAGCCACGGGGAGTTTGGCATCGGGCACGACTCGTGGTATAAAACAGCGGAGTTAAGCAAATTGAATTTACAAAGAGGACCCCTCCTCCCAAAAATATTAATATATAACAGACCCTTGGGCGCCCCTTCAATGTGACGACGCGAAGGGGGGGGGGGGGGGCTGTACCTGCAGCTGCTCAGCCGTGAAGCTGGTGCGGGCTCGCTTGGCCGGCTTGCTGGGGGGCGCCTCTCCGTCGCTCGGGGGGCCCCCCTCCGAGAGAGAGCCCCCTAGGTGAGGGGAGGGGGTGGGGGGAGTCACACATCAGCACAACGCAGCGGCAGACGACGCTGTTGGTGATCGTGTCGTGAGAGAGGCTCCTTGCCTACAACGTCTAATTCGAGCAGCCCTGACTGTGGGGGTCTCAAGGAGTTGGGGGGGGGGGGGTGGTGACCCCTATCGTTCCCAATACCCGACCCCCTTGGATTCTCGCCGCTGAATGACGGTGCCGTGTTTACCGCACGCGGGGTGTTGGAGGCACTGCGTGGGGTCATCTTCTCGTCGTTGTACGGCTGATGATGCAGATGCAGAGCAACGACTACAATTTCACATTCAGGTGTGTCAAGCCAGACAACCGCGTCAGGAGTAGCAGGAGTGCGTCATCGCTGGGATGATGTCTCTTTCATATATGTGGATCGGGGGCATTGCGTCGTTCTACGTTCTGGATGACCACAGTCACACACGGCTGGAGAGTTGTTTCAAATTTTCCATTTGTGGCTCAGGTATCCGCGTCTGCCATGGTTTGTGCAGAGGATGCGATTTAGGGTGGGATCATGAGCTTCGTGGAAGATCAAACCCCAGAGGTCTTCTGCGTTGGGTCTTTCACAAACAGGTGTTTGGAGTGTTGAACTCCATTCAGCTCCATCGCGCGCGAGCGATCCACTCACTCCTCGTGCGTGTGATGGCGGCAGCGGCATCACCGTGATTTAGGAGCTAATTGTCAATGTTGAAGACTTGTTTCTGGCCATGAGGAGCAGTGCCGGATTAAGCTCGTGCCGGGCCAGTAGCATACGTTATAAAGAGGCCCTAAATAAAATAAAAACTCATAAATATTAAAACACAAATTTTTACTTGCATAGTAAAGTAATTATATTTTTTCATTTTCTATACAGCCAGATAATACGACAAATCGCTAACCTTAAACACCCAATCGTTCATAAAAGTTGAAGGCAGTATAGTACTATAGTATTAGAGCAAGTGCAGAATCACTGAACCGAAATTGATAGCTTGAAAGCATTTTGCGCGGGGCCCTTGAAAGTGCGGGGCCCGTAGCATTATGTAGCTACTTGTGCCACTAGGATCATCCGGCACTGACAAGGAGAGGGTTTCGGTGAGCGGGTTTGTGCAGTTCTGATATTCCTCCTCCGTCGACGGAGTGATTCGCTATATTGCTCACATTGTGAGTTCCATGGCCACAATTGCACCGTCTCTCCACGTATCTCTATGGGTATGTATGTCTATATATATGAGTCTCTACGTGTCTATGTGTTTCGCTATAGGTCTCTATGGATCTCTGCGTCTCCATGTATCTCTAAGTGTGTCTATGGATTTACGGTATGATCCACAGTTTGGGTTGCATGGCGAAAAGTCGAACTACTGTGGCACGTGTCTTTCATTTTGCATTCAGGAAGGAGACATGCGCATCGCCCTGTTGATGTTCTGATGCGGTTGATGGCTACACAAGTGGTGAGCGAGTGAGTGGGTGGATGGGTGAGCGAGTAGCTAAGTGAATGAGTTCATGGTTACACCAGTGGCGAGCGAGTGGGTGTGCGAACGAGCTGACGGTAACGACGGGTGTGGACGAGGAGGAACATCTCGAACGAGGAAGGGGCCGTTTCATCCCAGGACCCCATCAACAACATCTATCCAATTTTTCGATTTAAAGCTTTCGTGACTGCAAGGATTCATCTTCTTGGTTCTTTCGGTAAAGTCACGTAGAAGGGAAGTAATAAAATAATAAAAATAAAACATAATAAAATAATTATCACTAAGAGAAGTGATGAAATAATTCTCACTAAGAGAAGTGAGAATTATTGTATTATGTTTTATTTTATTATTTTATTACTTCCCTTCTACGTGACTTTACCGAAAGAACCAAGAAGAAACATCTATCCATACCGCCAGGAAATCCTTCGAGCTACGGAGCTCTCCCCCCCCCCCAAACCACTCCAAGACGATCCCCGTCCACCGCTTCAACCCACTCACCTACGTGCACGGCGCCACCAGCCAGGCGCTCCAGCGCCGCCTGGTAGTGCGAGCGGCACAGCAGCCGCTCACGAAGCACGCCGAACTCCTCGCCCGTTGCGAGCTGCCTGCCGCACGCGCCGCACGCGAAGCACGCCAGGTGGTAGAGGCGGCCGCGCGCGCGCCGCACCCAGTCGCTCGCCTCCAGGCGCCGCTCGCAGCGAGCGCACGCCGCGCCGAACCTCCTGCATGGGTGGTGTGGCCCCGGGGGGAGGGGGTGGGGGTGGGGGGGTAGGGTGGTGGTGTAGCCCGTAGGAGAGGGAAGGGAGCGGTGGTGAGGTGGGGGGTGGTGTGGGGTGGGGGGTGGGGGGGTTGGGTGGTGGTGTAGGGTGGTGGGTGGTGGGGTGGTGGGGCGGTAGGGTGGGGGGTGGTGGGGTGGGAGGGTGGTGGGGTGGTGGGGTGGTGTAATGGTGCGGTGGTGGGATGGTGGGGTGGTGGGGGGTGGGGTGGTGGTGTGGTAGGGTGGGGGGGTGGTGGGGCGGTAGGGTGGGGGGGTGTGGGAGGCACGCCACGGGCACGAGGGGGTGATGGGAATCAGAATCTTTTTGTTTGATGTTTTACTTACGTGACTTAACCGAAAAAACCTAAGAATATGAATCTTTGCAGTCACGAAAGCTTCAAATCTAGAATCAGAATCTGTTTTTCTAAGAACAAGCAAGTGGCATCACTGTCAACCCATACGGTTTGCGCCGTGTTCTTGTCCAGGGAGATTGGAGTTGTCAGGTTCATACGGCGTGACAGCCGTTTCAAGACGGGCAAAAAACGAATACACTTGTATGTACAGCATTTGGCTGCTCTACATTTCCACGTGATAAGCCACTTCGTTGGGCTATCATTTTTGGCTCAGTGTGCTTCTGAATAAGAGCTACATAGCTCAGTGGGCCACACCTGGTAAACTAAAAAAGTGTAATAGTTTTATTAAAGTACAATTAGTTTATTAAGTAGTAATACTTTTCTTCAAGGAGTTTAGCTGTCACTCAGTAGCTTCTATTAGGTAATTATTCATATGCCAATTTAAATCTGTTCACCAGGAGACGTAAATCATATATAATTGCATCCAACCCCACAGTGTAAAGTGCAGTCGTCAATTATCATTATCCACTCTGTCTCTATGGTTGCTCTATGTGCTTTGAAGAAGGGCCATTTCCTGAAACGTTGTCTGTCATGTTTCCTTCTAAAACCGTAGTGTAATTGACAATCGTGTTGAGTTCTTTGCTTCGTCACATCCAACGCCTTGCTGGCTGGTGGAACTAAATTAATTTTTAATGTTTGATTTTTTTTAATTGCCCAAATTAAGCGGGGAAACGGGCCGGACTTCATAGGTGCTCGCCACCAGCACCAGGGTTGCGATTTCCGCATGGAAAATGCGGAAGGAGGGTTCAAATTTTCCCGCATTTTTGCTAAAGTCAACCGCAAACGGTGGAAAGACTACTCCTATGACCGCGCGCTTTTAACAACACGGTAATGCGTTCTATTGGAAAGGATACATGCAAGGCCCAGCATCACGTAGGGCTTTGAGTTACTGATTGGAATGAATATATGATTTCCGCATTTCCGCACAAGAACCACATACTTTATTCAAAAGCGGAGCCGTGATTACGAGCACATGTACATGATGTATCCTTTCCAATAGAACGCATTAACGTGTTGTTAAAAGCGCGCGGTCATAGGAGTAGTCTTTCCACCGTTTGCGGTTGACTTTAGCAAAAATGCGGGAAAATTTGAACCCTCCTTCCGCATTTTCCATGCGGAAATCGCAACCCTGACCAGCACTTGCCCCGACAGTCTGTAAGGGCGACTAAAACGCAGCGAGGTGGCGCAGTGGGGAGCGCAGGGTCTGCGCACCCTCCTGTCATTTCAGGGAGCGCAACCCATCGCTACCCTGCGTCTCTCTGTCCCACAACCTCCCCGCCAGCAGCGAGCCTAGCGTCACGCGCACCCGTCAACCCCTAATCGGTGCCCTGCCTTATTATTACAGACCAATTCAAACCCTATTGGTCACCGAGTGTTGTTATAAATCTCAACGTTCATCATATACACTACACTGTGCACTAAACTATACACTGCACTATACAAAACATCATACACTACTATACACTACACGACTTTACACTACACGACTATACACTTCAATATACACTACACTATACACTGCTATACACTACACTACTACATACCCGCCAACCCCTTATCGATGCCCTACCTTTTGAATACAGACCAATTCAGACCTTATTGGTCACCCCGTGCCCCTTATAATTCTCAACGTTCATCCCACAAAGTCCCATCGCAATGGAGAAGCACAAACACACGGAGAACACAACTTCGCCCCGTAGTGAAACGACCCCACGCCGTCTGGACTTGAACAACTCAATTTCCCTCCTTGCAATAATTCGGGCTGTAACCGCATGGGGCTTGACACGGGCAAGCACGCGGCGCACCTGGCCTGGTGGCACGCACCTGTAGTAGTCGGGCTTGCAGTACGCGGCCTTGTCACGGATGTAGCAGCTGTCCAAGCCTCCGAGGGGCGCCTGGCACACGGAGCACTCCAAGCAGCGTCCGTGCCAGCACTCAGAACCCACCTGCAAGGCACGGACAAAGTTTCTCCACCACCAACACCACCACCAACACCACCACCACCAACACCACCACCACCACCAACACCACCAACACCACCAACACCACTACCACCACCAACACCACCACCACCAACACCACCACCACCAACACCACCACCAACACCACCACCACCAACACCACCACCACCACCACCAACACCACCACCAACACCACCACCAACACCACCAACACCACCACCACCAACACCACCACCAACACCAACACCACCATCAACACCACCAACACCACCATCAACACCATCAACACCACCAACACCACCACCACCAACACCACCACCAACACCACCACCACCAACACCACCACCACCACCACCAACACCACCACCAACACCACCACCATCAACACCAACAACACCACCACCACCAACACCACCACCACCATCAACACCAACAACACCACCACCATCAACACCAACACCACACCCACCAACACCACCACCAACACCACCACCACCAACCGCAAGCCCGGATAGCCTCGACAGACTACGCCGCATTTGGCGAGTGGAGTGGCGTGGCCGGGTCTGGCCGACGTTGCCCACCGCGTTGCACGTTGCCGGAGAAACGTTGCACACGCTGCAACCTGACAATGCTTTCGTTGTTGTCGTATGTCCCGTGGAGTAAGCGGGGGTTGCAAGAATCCTCCCCTAGGTCGACTCAGCCTCAAATGAGTACCTGGTGCGGTGTGTAAACATCGCCACTAGGGAGACAAAGGCGGTCGGGCGTGGTACTGGCCACCCACCCCTTCGTGTACCGTTCTGGCCTTTATAGGTGCTCGCTAACAGCACTTGCCCTTACAGTCTATTAAGGCTATACGGGGGATCTTTGTCTTTGTATATATCCTCGCCTCTTGAGCTGTCACCGGGTCGCTTGGATAATGCCCTCGGATACCCTTCGGATCAAACCCCAGTGCACAGGTGTCAGTCGCTCTCCATCGCTGCTCGTCAGCCGCCGGTCACGTCCGCTCACCTCGCGACGGTGACCCTCGGGCAGGGAGATGCTTTTCGCACGAATACGACGGATGGGTCGGGCCGTTCTCGCGACTCCAACGAATCGCGGCCGACAATGACCGGGGGTGGCTGGACAGGGGAGTTTTGACAGCGATAGCGGTGCCCTCTGTTCTAGATTTGAAGCTTTCGTGACTGCAAGGATTCATACTCTTAGCTTTTTCGGTAAAGTCACGTAGGTAAAAAAACTAAATAAAAATTAATAAAAAATAAAATTAATAAAAAAATAATAATAAAAGTAAAATAATGAAAAATTTTCATTATTTTTTTTTATTTTAATTTAATTTTTTTACCTACGTGACTTTACCGAAAAAACTAAGAGTATGGTGTCCTCTATCGCCGCTATCGCTGCCCCGTGACCCCTCGCCCTCTCTCTCTCTCTCGCTCTCTCTCTCTCGCTCTCACCTTGAGGATGATCTTGTCCCGGATGGGGGCCCCGCAGCGCGCGCACGAGTGCCTCTCGGGGGTCCGGTGAGGAGTCGGTGACGGGGGCGACGGGGACGGGGGCTCAGCGGGGCCCCCCACTTCGTGCCGACTCTGATCGCCGGGCTCGGCGACGGCGAGCTCCTTCAGCGAGAGAGGAGCGGAGGGCGCCAGCGACGTTGATCAGCGGAGGTTTTGTTTTGCTCGCTCGGTTACGCGTTGCGGTTCGAGCGTGGTGAAGTGTGGTTACCGGCAGCGCGAGTCGAATGTGGTGAAGTGTGGTGAAGTGTGGTTACCGGCAGCGTGAGTCGAGTGTGGTGAAGTGTGGTTACCGGCAGCGTGACACGAGTGTGGTGAAGTGTGGTGAAGTGTGGTGAAGTGTGGTTACCGGCAGCGTGACACGAGTGTGGTGAAGTGTGGTGAAGTGTGGTGAAGTGTGGTGAAGTGTGGTGAAGTGTGGTTACCGGCAGCGCGAGTCAGATTGTGGTGAAGTGTGTTTACCAGCAGCGCCACTCGAGTGTGGTGAAGTTTGGTGAAGTGTGGTTACCGGCAGCGCGACACGAGTTTGGGGACCCCATCAACAACCACCGTGACATTTGTTTTCAACAACAGTGTATAAGAACACGACACTTATTTATAACGCGTGTATAGTTCTTATATAGAGCCTAATATTCATAAACTGTGTTATTTTCTTTGAACCTATCTACGTGACTTTACCGAAAGACCCAATAATATGAATTCCTCCAGTCACGAAAGCTTTAAGTCAAGATTTAATAAATAAAAGTTCAGCGATTAGAGGATTGTACGGTGTGCACCTTTCTAAGTAATGCAGAATAAAATTCCATTCCTAAACACGTTTAATTGCAGTTTAAGTCTCTATACTATTTCATTAATTGTTGCGATTTCAAGATCGCGACCAGTTGCAATTATTATAAATTATTGTATTAATACAGTTACTACAATGACACATTATTTAACAACATATCTCTCTACGCGCCATCTATTTCCTTTTATTTAGCTCTGTCCATGGTATCCGTCTGCTGAAATCGTTAACGTGACTTAATTCGCTGCCTTCAATTGCTTCTTGTGCTATGTAGAACTTTCCCAGGAATCAAAACAACGCGCATATCCAGCCTCTTGTTTAATCACTACCTGTGCAAGAAATCCAACCCTTCCTTTCCCTAATTATTCTCACGAATTGTTGTTCGTGTTGTGGACCCTGCTGCTCTCCGTCACGCATTTATGGCTGTCATGTGCAAATGTTGACTTGAAGCTTTCGTGACTGCAGGAATTCATATTCGTTGGGTCTTTCGGTAAAGTCACGTAGAAGGTTTCAAAGAAAAGAACAAAAAACTACGGCGTTTCGATCGCAACACCAGCAATGACGAGCGCTTGTGTTGCGATTGAAACGTCGCAGTTTGTTTTGTTATTTTCTTTGAACTTATCTACGTGACTTTACCGAAAGACCCAAAGAACATGCTGTCATGTACGTAAGTTTAACTTCTGTCACACCGTGCGTAGCCAACCACGCTCATCGCAGCTGCGGTGGAATGACAACAAACGAAACACCAAAGCAGTTCTCAAGAAATTAGTTTTCCCATCTACGTTTAAAAGTGCATCACTTCCAGCGGATTCCTAATATATGAGGGAAGAGCGGTCCAGACGGCCGCAGAAGCGCATCTGAAAGGGCGTGATGCAGTGGCCGTCTTTGTTCGATGCCATGTCTGTCCGTGAAATGTTAACATCCTGCTTATAAACGGTGGCTAGGAGCTGTTAACTACCTCGCCTGGTATACAGTAGGTCGTGGGTTCAATCCCGAACCTGACGCCTATTGTATATTTGGAGTTATTTTCACCGGGTCCTCCGTTTTTTCCCTCCACATTTAGAATCAACTTCACCTCTTTGTCTGGTTACAATTGTCCACGTGAAAAATTACTTCGTTGAGCTATCATTTGTGGCCAGGTTGCTTCAGAAAAAAATAGCTGTATAGTTCAGTGGGCCTTCCCTGGTCAAAACACACAATAGTGGTTTAAAACGACGCCTCTGTTCTTAGTGGTTTGCTTTGTCGGATTGTTGTATTGTTTGTGAATGTAAAAAGACATTTTAATATTTCTTTGTAGCCATGCAAATCGCCTCTCAACACTCGGTGGATTTATGATAGAGGTGTTTTGAGTTAAATCGCGTAAAAAACCCGCCACCACCCGACACAGCCAACTAGTGAGGGTTGTCACGTAAACATAACGTGGCCAATTCGTCACCAGTATAGCGCACCGGTGTGCTGGAGAGCCAAGCCACAACATTTACAATCTGACTACGACGCTTCGCCAGCAACTACAACCAGCTTCATCAGACGACAGCCAGATGGAAATTCATTTATTTATTATCGAGCGCACAGAGATGAAGGTGGGGGAGGGAGAAGGAGGTGGGAGGGGGGGGAACCAAAAGACAATGAACACCCTCTAAACCCATGAGAGGCGAAGTACTCGGTTCACTGATGGGGTGGAGTGGCACACATTCGCCTTGCTGCTTCAGCCGGCCCGCTAACACTGCTGAGTCCACGCAGCTGTTATGTAGACACACAAAGACAAAGATCCCCCGTGTAGCCTTAACAGACTGTAGGGGCAAGTGCTGTTAGCGAGCACCTACGGAGGCCGGAACGGTACACGAGGGGGTGGGTGGCTAACACAACGCCTGACCGCCTTTGTCTCTTCAGTGGCGATGTTTACACACCGCGCCAGGTACTCATTTCAGGCTGAGTCAACCTAGGGGAGGCACAGGACCGGTTCAGATATTCATCACTGGTGTTGGCCGTGAGCGGGAATGTAGACACACACATATATATGTGCACAAACCTGTTAATAGGCTCATATGGGGTATTCGGTACAATCGTATAGGATTTCGCACCTCCGTTAAGCACAGTTGGATGCGTACGGTGCGAAAGAAGTTCAACGTACATATATACATTCATAATGAAGGTTTTTGGGTTAGATCGCGTGAGTATAAATGTTGTGTCGTAACCCTCCACCACCCGACACAGCAAGTAAGGCTTGTCACGTAAACAACGCGACAATTCGTTTACTACTTCAGCCCACAGGTGTGTTGGAGAGTAAATCCACAACATTTACAACTAGTTTATGTTATTGATAGACTGTACCTTGTAATCTAGTGGTAGTGCCTTACGTCAATAATCGCTACACAAAGCCAGGCATATCAGCGTTCTGGTAAATATCGAGTGAGAGTCTAAGTCCTGTGTGTGTGTTATTTGTGTTTATCTCGAGACTCGTAGCAATGCAAAGTGTTACCTTGGTGATCGTGCTGCTGCTACTGCGTTGCACAAGCACGGTTAACGAATCATTATAATTCAACGCGTTCGTGAACAGCAACACCGCGTGGTCTTAAAATAAACAAATACATATCCAGTATATATAAGAGGCGACGTCTCGGGCGATGACCCTCCGTCACGGCGCACGCGATTTATATAATACGAGGGACCATTGCCTGTAACGTTGCTTTTTTCCGAGGGTCGCCCAGACTGTAATGCCCCATCGGCAAAGGAATGGAGCCTATCGCTTCTCGCTGGCGTGGAGCCATCGATTACCGTATCGTGTACAAGTAACGCACGTGTTGCCAATAACATCTGCTCGTTCTATGGGTAGGTTTCACTTTTTTTTATTCAATAAATCTTGGCCGAGGAGAAAAAAATAAAGGTGGAGCATTACCCTACGAGACGACTCTCGCACATCAACAAGACAAAGATCCCCCGTGTAACCTTAACAGACTGTTGGGGCAAGTGCTGTTAGCGAGCAGCGTCTATGCATGCCGGGCACGGCACGCGAAGGGGTGGGTGGGTAGCACCACGCCCCGTACCGCTCATCACACACAACCACAAAAGACAAAGATCCCCCGCGTAGCCTTTCCTGAATGTTGGCGCAAGTGCTGTTAACGCGCACCTATGAAGGCCGGCACGATATACGAGGGGTGGGTGGTCAACACCACTCCCGGCCGCCTTTGTAACCCCAGTGGTATTTTTTTTCACACACCGCAACAGATACTCATTTGAGGCTGAGTCGACCTAGGGGAGGCCCAGGAACGGTTACTCGTGTCGGTGACCGTGAGCGGGAATCGAACTCGGCTCGCCGCGTTCGTCACTCACAATCACACAAGACAAAGACCCCCCGTGTAGCCTTAACAGACTGTTGGGGCAAGTGCTGTTGCACACGAGACGCACGCACGCAGTGGTCGTCACGAATGCGCTGGGCGTCTTGGAGCAATGCGAGACGTCGGAACGAGGCTGCCCCGTCTGAGTGAAATCGATTCAATCTCCTCCGTTTTGACATCAATTCAGGGGGCAGTACGACATCGTTTTCTCGTTGTCTCATTTCTACTTTTGTTTTAATAAGCAAAGATTCGCCGATGTTTGCGTGCCAACGGGTCCCGAGCCATTCTATGTATGACAGCTTGAAAATGTACATCAGTCACTCGGCCGGGATCGTCTGTACATGTACACGCATATATGCACGCACGCACACACACACACGCGCACACATACATACACAGACGCATACATGTATAAAGATAAAGATCCCCGTATAGCCTTAACACAATGTTGGGGCAAGTGCTGTTAGCGAGCACCTACGAAGGCCGGTTCAGCACACGAGGTGGTGGGTGGCCAGCATCACGCCCGGCCGCCTTTGTCTCCCCAGTGGCGATGTTTACACACCGCACCGGGTACTCATTAGAGGCTGAGTCGACCTAGGGGAGGCCCGGGACCGGTTCAGATAATTGTCACTGGGTGTTGGCCGTGAGCGGGAATCGAACTCGGGTCGCCAGGTTCGTCGCACAGCGTAGCGCTAACCGCTACACCACCGCTCCCCACTATACACACACGCATACATATATTCATGTATACACACACTCATACAGATACCACACAATGCATGCATACACAGATACATACACACGTGAACACATCATGAAAAACATACCTCGTGTAGCCTACACAGACTGTTGGGGCAAGTGCTCTCGTAGCGAGCACCCATAAAGGCCTGCGCTGCATAGATTCATCCTATGTATAGCAGAATTAAAATGTACAGGATCGTCTGTGTGTAATGCTAAACGAAGTGGCTTATCGCCACGTGGGCATT